TGAGGAAATATTTTGAAACTGTATAAATACTGTTTCTCATCATATTTCTGTCCAGTAATTTTACTATGCATTGAGACTCCATTGATGACTCTTTCCAGAAACAGTTATGACTGTGGTGTTGGCCAGACTGTGCTTTTTCTAGTCATTATCTTTTCCACACTTTTTGGTTGGAATTTTATTATAAGGAAAAACTTTACTTCTCCCCCATATTTACTTATTTTTTCCATTGTTTATACCAATATGGGCTCATGAGTTCTTAATTATTTCTATGTGTGAGAATTCATTGCTATCATTTATTTATTTTCTTGCTCAAATTGTCCCTGATTTGACCAATGGGACACTGGCTTCTTCACACTGGCTTCTGTGACCTTTTGACTGTCCCTTCACCTTTTTTTTTTTTTTTTAAGATTTTATTTATTTAGGCTTCCAGCGACAGCAACGCAGATGGCAGCCACCACGGGCTCGGACAATTTATGAAAACCGAATATACAGCCTTAAAATAGAATGTGGACCTAAATACCCAGAAGCACCCCCCTTTGTAAGATTTGTAACAAAAATTAATATGAATGGAGTTAATAGTTCTAATGGAGTGGTGGACCCAAGAGCCATATCAGTGCTAGCAAAATGGCAGAATTCATATAGCATCAAAGTTGTCCTGCAAGAGCTCCGGCGCCTAATGATGCCTAAAGAAGACATGAAACTCCCTCAGCCGCCTGAAGGACAGTGTTACAGCAATTAATCAAAAAGAGAAACCACAGGCCCTCCCCCCTCCCCCCCATTGGATTTAAGCAGTCATTTTCCACAGTAGTACATTTTCTAGATACGTCTTGTAGACCTCAAAGTACTGGAAAGGAAGCTCCCATTCAAAGGCAATTTATCTTAAGATACTGTAAACGATACTAATTTTTTGTCCATTTGAAATATGTAAGTTGTGCTATAAAAAAAAGATTTTATTTATTTATTTGAGGGAGCAAGCATGAGAGAGAGAGAGAGAGAGAGAGATCATGAGCAGAGGGGAGGGGCAAAGGGAGAAGCTGAGCAGGAAGCCTGATGCAGGGACTGGATCCCAAGAACCTGAGCCAAAGGTAGACACTTAACTGACTGAGCCACCCAGGCGCCCCCTGTCCCTTCACGTTTTGATACAACATGATGTTCCTGGCTCATCTTGTATACTCTGTGCCTCAGCCCTAGAATTAACCATTCATACAGACATTGTTTCTTTCATTGAAGAATAGATAGTATTTAGAAGTATATAGAAGCCAAAATCTGGGTGCTATGTGTGCTCACTGTTGGGGGGAGCTAGGAAATACATGTGTGTGCTCACATATCTGTAACTATTTCTGTGTCTTTTGTATTTGTGTGTGGGGGGGGTGTATGTGTACACACACATACACCCCCCACACACGCGCGTGCGCGCGTTCATACTGATACTTCCAATTCCAATCTAACACCAAAGAGTTTATTCTAACCTCCCCCCACACCTGTAACTCCTATGAACATAGTGAGAAACTCAGCTCTCATTATCCTCAATATATTTACTTGCTCAATCCTAAAATACACACAGAACAGCTTCAGAATTGCTAACCTACGTAACCCATATACAAGCCTCCTAACTAAAGTACTATATTTGTGTACAAATCTTATATTTTGCTTTAGACTATGTAATCAAATTACTATTTTCCAAAGTGACTTTTGTCAGTTCTCCCCCTGCCTCCCTTCAGTGTGGTCGTATCATTCCTTTGTAATACAGTTAGGTTCACTTGTTTCTGTTTATATTCTATTTTGGGTCCACACCCTGCCCCCCACCAACACACTCCTTGTTAATTTTATTTAAGAGTATGTGAAACATTAATATGGTTCCAAAACACAAAAAAATATACTCAGAAAAGTGCCACTCTGCTTCAGCCCTTCTCCATCGTTGTTCCCATGCACCTGCTGAAGGTAACAAATCTCATTCATTTCTTATTTACCCTTTTTTCTTAGATGAAGGATAGCACAATGTAGCTATTTTTCTGTGCTTTGCCTTTCTCACTTTACAGTGTGTCCTGGAAATCACCTGCTATCCGCCTAAGTGATCTTGTTCATTGTTTCTTATAGCTGCAGAATACTGAGTGAATGTACCATAGTTCATGTACTCACTGTGAACTATGGTACACTGTCTTATATGAGTGCCTTTTCCCCCATAGGCTTTCCAACAAAATATGTATCATGCTTTTCAATCTTCTAGGCCAAGAATTTTGATAATGGTTCATGCAAAGATGGTAGTAGTAGAGGTGGTGAAAAGTGCTTAGACTTAAGATACGATTTTGGAAAACAATTCAGAGTTTCCAGTGGATTGCTGTGGAGGCTGATGCAGTGGTTTTCCAACTGGGGTCCTCTCCAATTCTGTTTAGATAGTAGGCCTCAGTATTAACAGTCTACACTAGTTACTTCTTTTTACTTGCCTGATTTATGAAGTTTTTGGTGACTCTCACCTTCCTCTTGGGCCAGCCTTAAGTTTTTTTTAAAGATTTATTTATTATTTTAGAGAGAAAGGACACACAAGAGAGGGAGGGGCAGAGGGAGAGGGAGAGAATCTCGAGCAGACTGCTTGCTGAGCGAGGAGCCCTACGTGGGGCTCCATCTCAAGGCCCTGAGGTCATGACTTGAGCCAAAATCAAGAGTTGGCCACTTAACCGACTGAGCCACCCAGGCGCCCCTTGGGCCAGTCTCATTATATGTCCTAGTAAATTTATGGCATTATAATAGCTAATGCTAACTGCTCTAACAGATAATTTCTAACATTTCAGTGGCTTAATGCAGCAGTTTATTTTTTGCTCACATTACAATCCCGTGCGGGTGTGTTTGAATTACAGTTCTCTTCCATATGGTAATTCAGGGACTCTGGCTCCTTCTAGAATGTAGTTTCTCCATGCCCTGAGTCTTGGAGTCTTTGAGGGGCAAGTACAAAAAGAAAGTGAAAAAGGGACATCTTAACTGCCTTGGCCTGGAAGGAATGCAGATTACTTTCTGGGTTCAGTTGCTGAGAACTGGTCACACGCCCCCTAGATGCAGGAGGGCTGGTAAATGTGGTTCCTGCAGGACAGCAGCTTTCCAGGAAGCACTCCATACATGGAGGGGGCGTAGGGATCGAGGTAGACGGTTAGCTAACTCTGCCACGGATATTTAACAAAGTAAGTCACTTGCGTACTGTGTGGGAATAAATAACTTGTGTTGCAGGATAGAACATTCTGAAGTATTACATTGTGAAATACTGAAGAATGGTTTAAAAAAAAAAGTATAGAGTAGTCCCCCCTAATCTGCGGGGGACAAGTTCCAGGACCTCCCAGTGGATGCCTGAAACTACAGATAGTACTGAGCCTTAGGCATACTGTTTAAATATCCTGCAATACCAGTTACATGAACGGGGTCTCTCTCCCTCTCAAAATACCTTATTGTACTGCACTCACCCTTCTTCTTGGGATGAAGTGAGATGATCCAGGGTCTACATGATGGGATGACATGAGGTGCATGATGTAGGCACGCAGTGTTAGGCCACTGCTGGCCTTCTGAGGGTCCTGCAGAAGAAGGATCATCTGCTTCAGGACCGCAGGTGTCCACAGGGAAGTGAAACGGAACAAGGAGGGACTGCGGTAATCATGGAGTTTAACAGCAGGGAACGAAGAGTTGGTGTACAAAAGGAGGAACAGGATTTAACTTGGAAGGGTTAGTGAGTCTAGTAGAGGGGTTCCAAATAACAAGGATTGTGGATGAAAAAAAGATGTTTGTATTTTCATTCGTCTGCTCCTTCATTCATTCAAGAGTGTGCCACTGGCCGTGCGCTCAGTGCTGTTAGGTGGTGGCAGGAGGTGGACTGTATGTATATTGGGGGGGGCGTGTTTACTTGTACATGGACAGGAGGATGTTGTGCAGGTATGGGGAGAAGCGATGAAGCATAAGCCAGAACAGTGGGACTTTTTCCCGCCTTTTTGATCTTAAAAAAAAAAAAAAAGCCTTCTGAGAATATTATGGAAAAGAAACTTTCCTAAAAGCTTTTAAAGTGCAGCACTTTATTAGAACAAATTGATCATCTAAATAAGAAAAAATGTCAGATTCTAATAAACAAGATGCTATTTCATGTTCTTTTCAGAATATAATATTTTTCAATCATGGAAAAATGAGTATTTCTCACATTCTTAAGTGTTTGTAGGCTTTGGGCTCATCTTAAATGGAAAAAGTTAATATTGTTCTCATCATGCAGGGCTTTGATTTATAAGGGGACTACCAGAGAGAAAGATCTGTCATAATATTTTATAGCCACACCAGTAGAGTAATGCTAATAACCAACATGTGTACTCACGCTACAGTTTACAGAGCGGTCCTGTATAACTGATCCAACCTGATCACCACAACCATATGAAGTAGGTAAGGGCCAGGTTGGTATCATCATTAGTAGTAACAGTAGTTGTATGTAGATGTTCAGATGTAGCGCCATTATCCGCATTTTACAGTCGAGGAAATTGACACTTAAGGATGTAAATGATGTGCCCAGAATCTGTAAATTTAAAATCCCAAAGAGAAAATAAATTTTAAATTCTGATGTTGTGGTGTAATTGTATCTGTGTTCAAGAATAAAAAATCCAATTGAGCTTTCTAAAATTCCATTTACTTTTGTCTGTTATTGTCAGGGTGGGAGGTAGGCAGAAGTTAAGAAAATATGGTTAATATTTCCAAGTAGTGTGATATTTTCCATTCTTTGAATTACGTCTCTTGTCAGACAATTAATTGCCTTTTTCTTTTCTTTTGGTTTTTATAGTAATTGATTTTATGGTACATTAAACGTGAGGGGGAAATGCTGAAAAGGTGGGACTTTTGTTCCGGGAGCTAGTTTTTTTACTCTTCGGGAACTTGTTTGTTCTATAAGCAAAAGAACACTAAATCCTAACTCCTTTGTATTCACATTTATTAGTGAATAATACTGTCGCTTTGTGACTAATGTCCAGCTGTGTCTGTTCTCGCAGGTGGGGTGACTGCTCTCTGTTGGGACCCTGTCCAGCGAGTGTTGTTCTCGGGCAGCTCAGATCACTCTGTCATCATGTGGGACATCGGTGGGAGAAAAGGAACAGCCATCGAGCTCCAAGGACACAAGTAAGGCAGCTGGTGCTTTTATTAACAAACTCGGAGAAAAGATTCCCAGTGGAAAGCTAGAACAGGCATGTGGTCCAGTGTCTATGGCAGGATCTTAACATTGCAGGAACACAAACATTGCAGGAACACAAATAATGGCCACTTTGAGTTATATCTGTGCGTAGGTATGTTTATACCTCATTTAATTCCACGGAGGATTTGCGAGTGCTTGCAAAAACCGTAAAATAAAATAATGGCAGCAAAGAAATAAAAAGTAAAAATGAGAACCAGGGAGACTTATGAGTAAAAATTTGAGAATGCGAAAAAAAAGAGCTTAAAAATATAAGCCATGAAGGCCTATGGAATTTAAATAATTGAGTTCAAATGTGGCAAGATTCCTGGCAGCTTAAGGAAAAGGGGAGAGATAATAAGCTTACACTATATATTTTGTACTTGACCAAATATTTATTGAGGACTCGCCTTGATTCATATCAGGCTCTTCTTCCTTGACAGGCAGATTTCACAGGGCTAAGAGGAAGAGCAAAGAAAGCTTTGTGTTTCCTTGGAGCTGTTCTCAAACTTGCAGTGTGCAAAGAGTCACCAGGGAATTTGTTACAGTGTAGACTGCTGGACCCTGTCTTTGGAGATGCCAGTCACCATCTGGAGCTGCAGGAGTCTGTCCTGTACCAAGCCTCCCAGGCGGCTCTCTTGGCGGCCCTCAGACCACACTCTGACCTGTCCTCCCTTGTGCTGCCCGCTGGTCCTGGGGGCAAAGCCTGGTCGTGTTCAGAAAAGAACTGTAGATCTGCTTTCGAGCTCTAAAGCTAATCTGTATTGTTTTGAACTTGTCAAGTTTTCACAGAGTTGTTAAGAGCAACTGTAGGCAGCCATAGCAAACGTTAGTAAGGCTCCCACGAACTGACTGGTTCTAAGCAACATTAGCTCTTTTTGTGAATCTACCCGGTAAATATTCTTCTAAGTAGTTACATCTACAGTTGGATTATTAGATATGAACGGATTCAATTTTGGAGGGCCTCTGCACAAATAATTATCTTAGTGTTAGAATTTAGTCTTTGAGAAGTAGCTGTGAAGCCTTCTTTCCCACATTAGAAAATGGACCCGTTGTCTGGGGCCTTGTCTGGCTTGTGGGGCCACTCGGACCTTGTCCTCAGCTCATTAGAGGAATCGTTCCCTTGTATTGATCTCCGTGACAAGGGGACATGCATCAGTATTGTATAAAAGGAGTTGACATCATCCGTGTAAATGAAGAAAAAGAGAAGCCAAACACAGTCCTGTTTAATAATACTCAGTTATTCTCCAATATGCCAAGTAATTCCTGCCACCTCAGGTCTTTCAGAGAAATAAAAGGCCAGTTTTGAATGAATATCGGTAATATTTGTTGGGCTCATTCAGGTTAGCTCATAACTAGTTTTATCTTTGCGCAGTGGTGAATAAAGCCTGCAGGCAGTCTTGCATGACCCATCCACAGGGTAGTAAAGTATAACGGTGCTCAACACCAGCAGCACTGCATGCTGAGTGCCCTCCTGCAAACTGTTGACCTGGGAAACTTGGACCTACCGTTTGGTAAGAAAGGAAAACCTGTGAAATTGAGATAGAGTCGCTCAGTCCCAGAAAAATGGAGCCTGAGCTAATAGGTCTTCCAGTTTCTAAGGAATACAGACCCGGCCTTCTCGAAAATGAAAGAAACCATACTTGGGAGCCCATCCCACTAATCCACACCCTTAGAACCTAGTGGGATGGCAGGCTGGTGAGATCAGGAGCCACCGGTCGGCACTGGCTTTAAACAGGAATAATGGCAGAAGGCCTTTGCCTGGTGCTTTATTTAGCTCAAGCTGAGGAATAAAGGGAACTCGATGAGGGGCTCCTCGTCACCGGGCCTTAGCCTGAGAGGGGCTGCCTGGTGTCACACGTCTGGGGGGAATGAACTTCCTCAGCCTCCGTTGGTGTCACCCTGTTAGAGTGGGTTTGAGTGCCTGAGGTGGGGACAGGGAGGACACTGGAGCTGCTGAAAGGGGGAAGCTGGGACTCAAAAAGGGGGCGGAAGTAAGGGGCCGGGCCGGCAGGCAGGAAGGAGAGCCACAGGGCCACGCTCACAGCCACCATTCCTTTGCCCTGAAAATTGGCCACGGGATTGGTGTTCAACGATTGTATTTCATCAGAGGGCAAACACACAGATACCACAGTGCCATCTTGCACGAACTCTGTGTATGTAGGAGGGAAGCCAGATTTCATCTTTGAGATGAGAATATTGAGTCCTCAAAGCCCCCCGCTGGTAGCCTAGTTCTCCCAAACCTTAGCTCAGTCCAACAGAGAAAGCTCCTTAGAGCCGCCTTGGTGTCCTGCACTGTGCTAGGTCCTGGGGGTACTGAAGCGAACATTGACTAACAGATGGTCCAGTGCTCCGTGATCTCTTCTGTCTTTCTACTTTAGAGGCCAAAGGGTTTCTTCTTGGGGCCCGCGGCTGTCCCTTGCTATCGTACAGTTCCTCATTTTCCCACCTTCCCCCCAGGGTGACGACAGGTGGTTAGAGTTCCAGATCGGGCACCGAAGTGGTGAGCTTGGGAACGGGGCAGAGTCTACCAGACCACAGATGCCCAGAGGGGTGGGGAGACTGCCTTCCCCTCTGGTGGGAATATCCAAGCATGATGTAGAGGGACAGCTCCCAGGTCTTCTGTCCTAGGTTCTGTGGCTTCATTCCATCCTTCAGCAGCAGAAATATGACAGTTTTGCAAGTAATTTGATTTGGTATATAAAAATCCCATCAAAGCAGAGAGAGCTTGAGCACTAGAGTAACTAAAATGTCTCCAAGTCCAAGGGGAAAAAAGCTAAGAAAGTATACTTCTATACAATATTATCTGCATTTGACACATTTTAGTGTTTTTATTCCCTGCAGCAAGTGGAACATGATTATGTGCTAGCTCTGTGAAAGGAAAGGCAAAGAAAAGGTTCTAGTTTTAGGGACCAGTTATGTTTCTGAAGTATCCATTATCAGTTGGATGGATATTATGGAAGCATAAACCTAGACATTTATTGTCCCATGCCCATGTCAAATCTAATAATGATACTCAGGCTTTTTAGATCCTTTTTTTATTCTTAGATAATACCTATCATTTCATGACCAACTTTATGACCATACTTTTCCTTCCTAACAGTATTTTTCTTAGGCTTCTAAGACTTTGTGGCAATTTAATTTAATGGTAACTTGATTTAAAGCACAGGTAAAGATCTGAGCGGTTTCTTGAGATAGAACCTTCCACCAGTACTGGGATTCCGTAGGTGACACGGGATGTGGTCGCTGCCCCGGCTGTTGGCACACAGGGCCTCTGTATTTTTCACAGTCCCAGCTCTTGGTTTTTCTCTTCCGACTCTTGGCATGTGTAGGACTTTCGTTACAAGCATCTTCGAAGGTAAAGAAAGGGGCTATTTGTAAATAAATATCCATCGGGAGAATTTGGACCTTTCCCTCTTTATCAGGTAAATTGCGTGTAAAATTAGGAAAGGAAGTAGAATTCTCACATTCATACTCTCCTGGGTTTGGGAAAGGAGAGCAAGGGTCAAGGAGAGCAAGCTTTTTCTCTTGGCAAATCTCATATTTAGGAGCATTTCTCATTGTAGCACTAGAGAGTTATTAGGATCCAGGGGAAGAGATGTCTTTTTCATTTCTAATTGAGCTAAATGCATAATAGATCAAAGAATTAGCAATGAGGGTTTTCATAGAGGGAAGAACCTTATCAAGGGGGAGGTGCCATACTGCGTGGTCATTAATCACTAGCCTCTGAGCCAGGCCAGGCTGTGTTTGAGCCAGCCCTTCTGCTAATGGCCGTGTAGGCCTTGACAGGACGCTTCATCTCTCTGATCCTCAGTTTTCTTATCTCTAAGGTAAGGATAATATTGGAAGGAGAAACCCTCAAAGATTGTCAAAAACCATAAATGATAGAATGCATGTAAGATAATCAGAAGAAGGACACCTGGGTGGCTCAATCAGTTAAGCGTCTGCCTTCAGCTCAGGTCATGATCCTTGGGTCCTGGGATCGAGCCCCACATTGGGCTCCCTGCTCAGTAAGGATTCTGCTTCTCCTCCCTCTGACCCTCCTCCCCACTTGTGCTCTCTCTCTCTCTCTGTCTCAAGTAAATAAAATCTTTTAAAAAAAATCAGCACAAGAGTAAGGGCTAGTAAGTGCCGGTTGTTGAAATTATTCTTGATAACAGAAATTACAGTAATTTGAAAATCAAGCTTTTGGATAAGAGTCGTATTTCTCTCTGAATATAGCATTTTCAATGGAAATATTGCCACGTGTACTTACTCCCTCTCTAATACATTCAGCAGCTGTTTACTGAGCTCCACCTATATACCAGACTTTGTAGTAGGCACTCTGGATAGAAAGGGGGCTGTGAAAACAGTCACGGACTAAATGGAACAGGCTGGATGCATGAGAATGGGGTAAAGGTGGGACAGTGTGCCAGTTTGACAAAAAAATGGGAGGCTTCTGTGGAGGGAGTCACTCTTGATTTGGGTCTTAGGAGATGAATAGGTTCTCATAGTTCTCAGGATCAGGAGGTTACCCCAAACAGAGCTGCATGAACTCAGTACAGTGTTTGCAGGAAATGGCAAGGGGACAGAAGGGCAGTGGCTAATCTGAACTTCCACCGTAGCCACTAAAACAACCAAATGTTGCTGATCTTGAATGAGTGCTCCTAGGCAGGATCCCTGAGGAGGGAAATCCTTCCAGGGTCCCTTTGGTGTGAGATGACCCCAGGTATCAGTTATCCGGGAGACCTCACGTGTGTGGATTACTCATGAGCCTTTTCTGGTCCTTGGAAGTTTGGGAGGCTCATGAATATGGGAGTTCTGAATCTAAGAGCGAGTGCTCTGGTAGCAGATGCCTAACTGATTAGATTTTCCCCAAGTCACCTAGGGCTTTTCATCAAAAAGATGAAAGCTGCTATACATTTAAGCTCCCCCCTACTCTTTAGGAGGCGGAAGAGGGCCTAAGTTGACA